TCTTTCCCTTAGGAAGCTACTGAGCCTGCTCAGAGGGAGAGTTTGAGAAGGTGCATGGTGTTGGAGGCCCAGGAGCAACAGTGCTGGTAGCTCATGCGGAAGAGGGTTGAGAAGCTGCAGAGAGCAGGTCATGTGGCTGCAGGGAAGAGAGAGCAGGTCACATGGCAGCAGGAAGGGTGGAAGGAGAAAGCAGGTTGTAAAGGGTAGAAGGAACTTCGCAGGGCTCAAAGGGGACTGAGCAGAGTTTGCAGCTCTGAGTCACTGGGTTGGACGTCCAGCCCTTCGTAGAAGGACACAGTGGGTTTGTGCAGGAGAAAGACTTGTGCTTAAATCATTGGCTCTGTTTCTTTTTCCTCCTTATTACTTTGAGATTTATATATGGAGAGGGTTAATAGTTTCCATTCCAGTGGGACTAGACATTTTTTGAGTTTAAAAAAACATTTGGTGGTCTTTGGGATGGTCCATCTGGGAGAAAGTCTAGGCACATTTTACTTTGAGACTTATACTGTAAGATCCTATCAGTGTGAATGGAAGTAATTGAGGGTTTGGAATGGGTAGTATCTTACCTGATTTTGAGAATTATTTTTTTCCCTTCCATTTCAGTGACTGGACCACTTTCAGAACAGCAGATTGCCTATGTTAGCAGAGAAACACTACAGGTAGCATGTTCTCAGGCTCTTCTGGTTGACTTTCAATGTAAAAGTATTAAAAGCTAAATATAAAGGCTACAAATGTATGTGATATGTGAAGTACAATGTTTGGATGGCTTAGCATTTTTCTCTGACTTTTGAGGAGATCCTAGAACTGATTTGTATAATTCCATAACCTCAAATTATCCCGGATCTTTTGAAGAAAACTTTTGTCATCTTTCTGCTGTTAATTTTTTTTTTTTTAAGGAGGGAAGCATCATATTTATTAATCCATATTTGTGGTGCAAATTAGTTTGAAGGAAAATTTAAAGACTCAATTTTGCATATTTGATAATTGATCTGTGACAATAAGAAACAAAAATTGCCTGTGTACTTGAGATGTTCAACTTAAGGTCACAAGCCTCTCCTTATGGGTATGCCACCTTTCATTTTTCTTTCCTAAATTAAAGGTTCAATTCAACGGTAAAACTTATTCAGCAACAGCCTTTTTGGTGGATGTCTTGCTTCCATGTGAGAGCAGTTCTTGGCTTTTAGTGAATGCAAATCTGTTGAATGCAATCAGTTGAGAGTTGCTGCCTCTCTCAAACACTCTCTCAAGATAACTCTCTCCCTGAGCCAGCTCCCTTGCAGTCCACTTACCGTCTTGCCTGTGCTATGCCAGATATTGGTGACTTCTGACTTAGAGGACATGGCCTTTTTTTCCCTAAAAAAAAATCCCTACAGTGAAGTCTTATGTGACATCTGGGAGTATTTTGGGTTTTGAACCTTTAAAGCCTTTTGTTCTTACAGAATCATAGAATAATTTGGGTTATAAGGGACCTTTGAAGGTCATCTAGTCCAACCCCCATCACAATGAGCAGGGACATCTTCAACTAGATCACATTGCTCAGAGCCCCATCCAACCTGACCTTGAATCTTTCCAGGGATGGGGCATCTACCACCTCTTTGGGCAACCCATGCCAGGGTTTCATCACCCTTATTGTCAAAAGTGTCTTGCTTATATCTAGCCTAAATCTGCCCTCTTTTAGTTTTAAAAGTATTACCCCTTGTCCTGTTGCAGCAGGCCCTACTAAAATGTCTGCCCCATCTTTCTTATAAGCCCCCTTTAAGTACTGGAAGGCTGCAATAAGGTCTCCCTGGAGCCTTCTCTTCTCCAGGCTGAACAACCCCAACTCTCTCAGCCTGTCCTCACAGGAGAGGTGTTCCAACCTTCAGATCATTTTTGTGGCCCTCCTCTGGACCTGCTCCATCAGGTCCATGTCTTTCCTGTGCTGAGGGCTCCAGAGCTGGATGCAGGACTCCAGGTGGGGTGTTGCCAGAGGAGCTTAGAGGGACAGAATCACCTCCCTCGACCTGCTGCCCACACTTTTTTTGATGCGGCCCAGGATATGATTTGCCTTCTGGGCTGCGAGTGCACGTTGCTGGCTTTTCATCCTCCAGTACATCACAACTCTCCACTCCTCCTGTGAATATTAGCATAAGAAATGCTTTATCATTAAGAATCTGCTAAGAAGTTGCAGTCATAAAGTTACTAAATTATATGAGATGGGCAGATACATGTGGGATGGGGCTCTGGGCAACCTGATCTAGCTGAAAATGTCCCTGCTCACTGCAGGGGGTTGGACTAGATGACCTTTAAAGGTCCCTTCCAACCCAGAGATTCTATGATTCTGTAAGTCCTTCTTGTCAGGCTGTTCTCAATCCCTTCATCCCCCAGCCTGTATTGATACCGGGGGTTGCCCCGACCCAGGTGCAGGACCCTGCACCTGGCCTTGTTGAACCTCAGGAGGTTCACACGGGCGCATTCCTCAAGCTTGTCCAGGTCCCTGTGGATGGCATCCTGTCCCTCAGGCCTGTCAACCACATGACTCGGCTTGGTTTCATCTGCAAGCTTGCTGAGGGTGCACTTGATCTCACTGTCTATGTCATTGAAGGAAAAAAAAATATTAAAGAAAGATATTAAAGAGTACTGGTCCCGATATGGACCCCTGAGGGACACTGCATGTCACTGGTCTCCGTCCAGACATAGAGTCATCGACCACTACTCTCTGGATATGACCATCCAGCCAATTCCATATCCAGTGAATAGTCCATCCATCAAATCCATAATCTTTTCAGAGTATGGAGGATTGTTTCAATAGTCTAGAATGGAATTTATGAAATCATTATTTGTTGTGTGGGTTAATTGCTTGTGAGAAGGAAACTTGCTACTTTGTATGTTTTTTCTAATTGTTATCCATGTACCCATTTTTTAAAATATTTTGAAGTTGTCTGTAAGTACATGCTTATAACGTTGACCAAATATAATGTATATAGTTTCTGATATCTTGTTATAGCTTGTAATGCAGCAGTCACTTTTCCTAGTAAACAGTCTGATAATATAAGCCATCTGTCCATGCAAGTAAGTTGTCCAGTGTTAATTTTGCCATCAGTTTCCATGAATCTGGAGTTTCACTTTAATGCCTGAAGTTAGCATTCAATATCCATATGTAGAAACCCATTAAATGCTCTATTTTTGAAAAGTACTTACTGTCAGTTCTGGTTGGAATCAATGAAACTGATTCTGAAAATACAAGTCCTTTAAATATGGCCTTTAAAGTACCTGCCTCCAGGCATTCAGTTTTGAAAATGGTGACTTCCCAGGGCAGTGGTAAAAATGAGTTAGTTTTTGGGCTTTCAGTAGCATCCAGAGACTTAAATGTGAGGAGTGTACATGATACTCTTCTAGCTAATGTCAGTAGTTGCAAAGGGCAGGTAGATGCTTTGATTAATTACATTCTATACCAAAAGCAAATCAAGTCCAATTTTTAGGTCTGCATCCATGCCTGCAGTGAGGACTCTGAAAAACATTGGACCAACTGGGTATTGTTAGTCACTTACCTCAGAGAAACAGGTTAAAATGTCTATGAGTGGGTGTGTTTTGGTTTAGTGTTTTTTTTTTTTTTATGTAAGGAGTTGAATTTCATAGCTCGTTAACCTGAATGCAATGTATTTGAAGTGCTTTCATGAACTGACAAAAAAAATACCCCAAAACTGTATCTTCAGTGGTACTGTTGTCTGTCTGTACAATGTTATTTATTTAAAAACCTCAAGTACCAAATCATGGAAGTAATTGTTTCATTTTTCCTGTTGGTATATTTAGGATCATCCATGAAAATGCTGATAACTGAAAACAATCCTAATTTACTTTTGCAGTCAACTCCGTGATGTCTTGCATGAGCTGGCAAAAAAATTTCTGTCTTGACATGGGTACCTCCCATAAAAATGTCATCTTTATGGAGGTTCATGACTGCAGAGTCAAGAAGATGTTTATGTGTCATTTTACCCCTTTATGTGTCATTTTACCCCTGGAAGTGAATTTTAGAGATAAGCCTGGACTGTCAAAAGTGACGTGGTCTGTGATTTGTCATGGGGGGATTCGTTTTCATAGAATTCTTTGAGAATTTAAACGTAGAAGTTTCTAACTTGTATTGAGTCCTAGAAATGCTTTGGTGCTGTCATCAAGACCTAGAAAGACAGTCTAATGCTTCTGCAGAAATCCATGAATTGGAGTTAAACTCCTGTGTTGGACCTGAAGTACTGCCTCTTAGCATGCTTGTACACTTAATTGAAGTGTGTAATGATATAGAAGATGACTGTACTAGGTATCCAGTGATCTGACTGCTGAATAGAAGACTATTAGGCAATTTAAAAGTAATTAACTTGGTCTAAAGAGGTGACAGTTACCATGTCTAGAGGAAAACTTCATTGGGGAATGCTTTTCTTATAAGACATGTGGTGACTGGTATTCTTCCCATCTATCCTGTGTCTTAAATATTATGCTACGACATATATTGAATTAAAAAATATAGTTTGGATACACTGAAATATAAGCATGTTCTTCAGTCAGTGAGTCATTTAGATGATTGAATTGGATCCTAAATATGTCTGGTAATTAAGTAAGAAATGTATATAAAATAAAAAATAGTGGAATAAATTATTATCTAAATATTTTATGCAGGGTCTATATTATCTTCACAGTAAAGGAAAAATGCACAGAGATATAAAGGTAAGTAAAAACTGAAGGGAATTTTGGTGTTTTTAAAATAGGCTTCATCACCTCTGATGGGACTTTACTGTTATGTATCAATTTTGGGGGTATTTTAAAATAATATATAGGGGTTTTCTATCTATTAGAATAAAATAAACTTTTCTACCCACGGGGAGAAGAAAATTCTTTCTTTAAAATGCATGCATGGAAAAAGTTTGTTCTTTTAATTGGAGGCAAATATACTCTTTATTTACACCAGTGCTGCAAAATTTAGGCATCAGCTGATATCCAGGGTAACGTGTTCAGGTGGCTGTAAGGGTGTGCTCTGTGCAAAAGGAAGGATTTGATCTTTCCCACACCCTTCCAAGTTCAGTGTTTGAACCAGCTAGTGAGCAGAGCTGTTGCTTTGGCTTCTTACTTCTTTTCTTGGTGATCAGATTGCAGGACAGTGGCTGCTGTTCTGTGTGGTATTTGGAGACTACTTCTGTCCCCTCCCTCGCATGTTAAAATTAGAGAGGGTATGGCAAATCAGGCTCTTAACGCTGACTTATTTAAATTTTCATCTCAACAAAGCTGTATCAAAGATGACTTGTTCAGACTCTTAACACTCTCTGTTACAGTTTCCTTCTAGTGCTACCTGTTGTCTTTTTGTCCCTGGAGTTTTACTACCTACTCTTGCCTTTCCAAACTCTTCCTTGCTCACACTGCAGCTTAAACTTGGCAGGCTTTCTCCTGGAAATATGGCAGTAAATTATCATATCCCTTTGTTTTGTGTGGGACATTGGTTTTGTTTGGTTGGTTGGGTTGTTTTTGTTTTTCTTCAGACTAGGGATGCAGTGTATGTAGTAGCTTCAACCGTAGGTGCTTTAATGCAGCCTGATTCCAAGTAGTTCTCATTGGCTGCAGAAGGATATTTGGGTTTTGAGCAATCATAAAAATAGTTTCTGAACGAAAGATTATGTTGGACACAAACATTTTTCATTATACTTTATAGAACGCAAAATTATGCTTGTAAGGGTACAGTGCATAGAGACTTGTTTCTGAACAGAATTGTGCTGATAAAAAAAGCTTACAAGTGCTTACGTTAAGAATTTTGTTTTTAAAAAGCTGTTCTCATGAGCATGGAAAAAGATTATCTTCATATGCAGATCTCCTGATTGTTGAATTATGTTTGCTTCCCTCAGTAGCTAAGCTATGCAGGTAGAGTATCTGTCCTGTTAGTCTTGAAAGGTGAACAAGGTCAAGAGCATGTTAACCAGACTGTCACACTATTTACCAAGCTCCATTAATAAGGCTCGTTAACGATACTTCTGCAAAAGTAAGAAGTACTAAGAAAGTACTTCTTTGCCAAAGTAAGCTGCGTTTTATTGCAGGCCCGACTTTTCCTTCTCTGTGAAAAGCCATAATCTGTAAAACCACAGTTTCCGTCTAATTTATGGGCAGGGCTAACATCTGGAGCTGTGTTTAGCCAGCTCCAGCCTTCACTCAACTCAACCTGTACCTGGTCTCAGTCTTCAGATCTCAGTCCCTTTATGTCCTAATTTTATGGTACCAATTACCACTTCAGGTTAGTTTTGATTATCAAACTGAAGTGAGTGGTACATACAGCCACACAACAGCGAATTCTTCAAGTCTAGCACTAACAATCTCTGTTGCATAAGGATGGAAATAGTTTTGCTAAACACTTCGCTATCAAAGCAGGTCCTTAAGGCTATAATTATAATTATCATGGCTCTCAAACAAGACAAAACCAGCTCCTATGCATGAAAAGAAAATCAAATTACTTCTGCTTTGACCTTCAGAGTTCTTATTTAGTTTCAGTCAGTGTAAACAGAAAACAGTAAGAATTCATCATCATAGGCAAATCATCATGTTCTGCTTTGAGAGGGGTTTTGTGTACAATGGAAACTCTATAGTATCATAGGCTAAAGAGTACTAAACTAAAAATTAATGAGAAACTCTGTATATCCAAATTTTTTCATGTAACAGAGTGGCAACTTCCTAATTTCACAAACATTTCCTTGGTAAGGCTGCAGATTTCTCGAATACACAATTGTTGGTTTGTCTTTGGCCCCTGGTTTGACATAAGATCTCACATAATTATTTTTTGAATACAGTATCTGAGGAATCTGCATGTTTTAATTCAAGTATGCTTACTTTTTTTTTAAGGGAGCTAACATTCTTTTAACGGATAATGGACATGTAAAATTAGGTGAGTTAATACAATTTAGTGTTACTAACAGGTTTTTATGTGCTCTAAGAAGCAGTCTTCTATATCTTGTTTAATGATGTAATGGTTCATGTAAGGAATTAGTGAATATCAGAATTATTCTTTTTCTCTTGCTGGTAATATCTAACTGCACCATCCAATTCATGTCTGAGGAGTAATTGGAGTAGTTTTGGAACACTGAGGTAAAAGACTTTCTGATGTTGTAAGGGGGAGGTAGAAATCAAATCACAGGTTTTTATAAATTTTTAATAAAATGTACCATCCAGAGTGCTTAAGTGTGAAATGTACCCTGAAATACGAAAAAATCTCTTGGATTCTTTCGTAAGAAAGAATAGTCTAAAATGATGATTCTATATCATCATTTAAATGATGCATTTTAGTTTAATATTTAAACACTACATGTAACTGTTAGGACTTCTGTGCTAACTTGTTCTTTCTTGTGTTGATGAGGGGAATGTTTGTATGTAGTCTGCAATATTTGGCAGGCAACTGAGAGGAGCTGATTGACGGTATCTGAGATACACCAAGTTTCCAGTATTTGCTATTGTGATTTATGTTTTTGCTAAATATGTCCAGTACATTTAAGACACTCTTGCAGTGGGGAAACCAAACTTGTGTTCATTAACAATTTATTACATGAAATCAGTTATTAACTGTCATTTTGGTTTTGCCTTTTTTTAATAGCTGATTTCGGAGTATCTGCACAGATAACAGCTACAATTGCCAAAAGGAAGTCATTCATTGGCACCCCATATTGGTAACTGTTTTACTTGGACATTAATATAATAGTAACATATATAATACTGTTGAAAAATTGTGATAAAAGCATGCTATGTCACTTTCTAAGTAGACTAATCACTAAAGACTGTGTCAAACTTACTGGTGATCAGATCTGTATTACTTTTGCTAAATCCTGAATTAGCTGAGTATCAGAGAAAATGCACTAATGCTCTGAAAGATTGCAGGGCTCTCTGTGTGCTGCTATCACTGTTGACTAATGTATCTCAGTTTAGTCAAAGTTAAAAATGATACACAGTTTAGCTTGTTTTTAACTCTGTCTTTTTTTTCTTCTCTGATTTTTCCATTTTGATGTTATGTTTCTTCCCCGCCACCCTAGATGTCTCTTCTGCAACTCTTCAGTTGATAATGAGTGTCATTTTTTTGTCTCCACAAATTCTTTTGCCACTTGTGAAATGTTTCCTATAAGACATTTTCTTTTTTTCCCTCCATTATTTGCCTAAACTCATAGAGTAGAAACGTATGTTTTAATTCAGTTTGTACTGCATCTTTATTCTTCCCTCAGTAAACTAGTTTGTATAATTTATCTTTTCTAAATTTCAGCATTTTATTTTCTCCTTTTTGTACTAGAAGTGATTGTTCCCTTTTTGCCTTGAAGTAATGACACATTCTTCACTGTAAAAGAGCACTTTTCTTCATTTCCCAGAAAGATACTCAAAATCCTGTTGTCTGACAGCATAGGAGGTACAAGATAAAAATTTATATAATTAAAAGAACCCCTAAATTCAAGTATTCGGTCTTGAAATAGTCAAGCACAGCATTTTTAGCATTGTTCTGCAGTCTAAGTTATGCCACAGCATGGATTCACTTCCCTTTCAGAATAACACACCCATCAGTCGTGATTGTGTAATCTCTTTCTTTAGGTTTGTGTGTCTCTTTCTTAGCGTGTCTGGGTGACTTTAGTGCTGGCCTGTATCAATGTGTAACTTCCACATTGTGCCAGGCTTCTCAAATGACATGTCATAACCCTAAACAATAACTTTGAAAGCATTACATAGGTTAAATGCTGATGAAAAGCATCAGTTTTTCTTTGCAAAGCTTCACAGGGATTTGAGAGGAGAAGCAAGGAAGCAAAACTGTTGAGATAGTGGAGAAGAAAATTTAGTTGGAAACAGGCAGTGTGAAGGTTTTAGTGATCATTCGAGGTGTCTGGGCAGGTAAGGCTACTGTGCTTGGATGGGAGAGAAATGAAGGGCAAAACTGCTGTGCAGTGTGTTTAGTTGCAGTAACCCTGCTATTTACCCTTGTGCTCTCCTCCATGTCTTTCTAAAGTTAACCCACATTCTCCCTTTGCTTTGGTAACTCCCTCCTTTTTGATTTAGAGTGATTTGGGTTCTTCTGTGAACTCTCGAAAAAGAATTATGTAAATATCGTTTACCTATGCAAACTGGAAATAAGTTGTACCACCAAATCTGAGGATGTTTTCAGATCTGCAGATAGGGATGTCTGTGTTTAAATAATGCATCATTTGAGATGGTGCCTCCTGTTTTACTGGAGCGCTCATTAAGTGCCATGTCTGTCTCACCCATATTGAGTTACATCTCCAGTTACGCTGCTACTTTTCAGGTGATCTGGATTAAGAAAGTTAATAAAGTAAAAAATATTAATGTTTGCCATCTGATATGACTATGTAGGACAATCAAATCTATAATTTACTTTGGACCTGTAAAACATGTGACAATGCCTAGTGAATCATTTTCTTTAGGTACTCCTGTTTATTTGTCAGTTATGTTTGTTAAATTTTGCCATCTGAGGATGTAAAACTACTTTGTTAACTTAAATGAGGTTGTCTGACATTACAGTGAGGCAGACTTTACAAACAAGGAGTGCTCTGTGCAGAGGTGACAATGAGTCTTCAGGTCTCATGCTTTCAGGATAGAAGAAAGCTGACATTTTCTTATGTTTTTTTTTAGTTCTTCAAAGTCAGTTGATCACTTTCTGGGGCAACATGTGAATTTGGGTATTATTTGGATTTTGCTGTAGTTGAATAATTACACCTTAGGCTCTTTGGTTGTTGAGTGGTAGTTTGTCATGTGCCTGTAAAAAAAGTCTGAGGCAGATTGGTTTCATCCACTTACTGCTAAATAGCTGTTTTGGAAACTGCCTATTAGTTACTAGATTGAGGAAAACTTAACGTATACATTACATAACTTTTTACACACACACGCGCGCGTATATATATCCATGTGTATAAGTGTATATGCTGTGACTTTATGGATTGAGAGCTTTAGGGAAGAGAGTAGTAAACTGCTGCATACAGAAGAATGTTTGATTTGCAGTGAGAAGTTTTATCTAAAAATGTCCTTTACCCTTTAGGATGGCTCCAGAAGTCGCTGCAGTAGAAAGAAAAGGTGGCTATAACCAACTCTGTGATCTGTGGGCAGTTGGAATAACTGCTATAGAGCTTGCTGAACTTCAGCCTCCAATGTTTGACTTGCATCCAATGAGGTTAGTAAGGGGTTAAAGCTTAGTATGTAAATACAGCTTCACAAATAGTGCATTTGGAGCACTGGCTATGTGTGCTTGTGGTGTTTGGGGGTACTGCAAGTGTATTGGGTCATAAGTGTTATGAATATATGATTAAAAATTGTAACAACTCTTTTTGGTGCAAAATGTGTAGTGTTGTCCTGGTAGCATCTCTTAAACTGATAGACTTCTTCCTGCCAAATACATAATGTATTTAATAATTCATCTCATGTATGTGTTGCAATGTAAACCACAGAAATACTGCTCCTTATTTTTTCAGAGCACTTTTTCTAATGACAAAAAGCAACTTCCAGCCTCCTAAATTAAAGGACAAAATGAAATGGTAAGTACCTTTCTGTTTCAGTAGATAATGACTGTGTATTTCACTGGGCAATTGATTCTAATATTCACCACTTCATTTTACAGGTCCAATAGTTTCCATCATTTTGTGAAAATGGCACTTACAAAAAATCCTAAAAAAAGACCTACAGCTGAAAAGTTACTACAGGTATAAATTTATGTATGTTTTCTGTAAGTTATAAAATTAAGAGCTTAATATGAGTGGTAGGAATTTTAATATATGTTTTTCCTGCTATCTTTCAGCATCCTTTTGTTACCCAGCCATTAAATCGAAGTCTTGCTATTGAACTTTTGGATAAAATGAATAATCCTGATCATTCCACTTACCATGATTTTGATGATGATGATCCTGAGGTAGGAATATATTTTAATCATAGAATCAGATTAAGTCTTTGCTGACAAAATTAAATTACTATGATTTATTGAGCCACAGAATGTTTTGTGATCTGGCAATAGTCTCAAGGGTTGCTTTTTACTTTTGGTTGTGCTGCTCTGTTGCATGTACAGGCACTTAACAAATTTTTATTATATTTGTGGTATTGAAGCTCAAAGAGAAAGGGACATAAACACTTTTAAAACTTTGTTTACTGTTATCATTCAACAATTTTGCAACAGTAAATGTGGACTGCTTCTCCACTCCTGAGTTCTGCCATGTGTTCTGCTTTCTGTTGCTTTGTGGAATTACATTTTCATTCATCTGCAAAGAAAGCGTTCATAAAAAAAAATTTACACCTATGTAGAACTTGTTCTTTTGTTCCTAATTCACTTTCTTAGAAGAGAATGATCCTGTAGTTGTTTTTTGCAAATGGTTTGCTATGTGTTCCTTGCAGATTATATCTTCTATCTTAGAATACTCTAAATTTAATTTCACTTATGGCTTTGTCAAAGGTGAAGTTTCTGATTTTCTGCTTTAACAGCTGGGAAAAAATAGCATGCTTATGTAAGATGATAAATAGCGCAGAGCTGAAGTGTTGTATAAGTAGGAGATACTCTGTTACTGCATCCTGTCTTCATAGTTAACTCTATGTCAGTGAAGACTTTCCAAATATTTACAGTTTCCTAACTGATGATCTATTTTGGGGGAAAAAAATTAATCCTTTTGACACAAATGCCATTGATTCATTAATTGCATATGTGTGTTCTACATTTTTTATGGATAAACTAGTCTAAAAATGCCTTCAAAAGATAATAGACTTAAAAGAAGCTACTACTTTAAGATACTAATTTTCAGATAAGTTAAATGAGCTTTTATCTTCTGAAACAGCAGAGACAAGCTGACTTGCACCACTGTCTTCCTTAGAAGTTGAAATAAATAAATGTGGAAAGAAGCCAAAGTGAAACAGATCTTTTTTGTATTGTAGATGGCAATGTTTACATATTCCCTAAATGGGAGGGAAGAAGAAGAAGGCATCAGGATTAAATAGGCAGTACTTTTAAAAGCAGCTGCAAATAGTGGAGCACACTTAGTAATTTTTTCTGTTAAAAAAATATTTAGGGAAGTTAAACACACAAGAAAACCCTTAATGTGGCTGAGTTTCGCATCAGTGTTAAGAGAAAGGTGTCTTACTGCTAATGGAGACAGCACTGAGCAACTCAGATCTTCGCCTTTGCCTCTAAGGATCAGGTGTCCGTTAGTCTCTGTTCAGTGATAATACAGAGCTCTGAGGCCCCTTAAGGCAATATTTCTGTCGTAACCAGAAAATTGAAGCTTTCATGAGCTGTCATAAAAATAAATTTAGCAGTTTTCAGTGTGTTTCTTCTGAGTGAGCTGCTCAGATCAGAGTAGCTTACCCTGTGAGTCTTCCTTGCTTTCCTGGAAATTATACTGAAACCCTATGTACCATTCCCCCGTGTCACTGTTACAACTTTTTGTAAGAATCTTGACCTTCATTTTGTGCCACTCAGGTGGAGAACCTCTCCCCGCCCCCCTGTCTCCCCGCCCCTCCATCTCCCTGTGATCTTGTTGAAGATGTCCCTGCTTATTGTGGTGGGGGTTGGACTAGATGACCTTTAAAGGTTCCTTACAACGCAAACTATTCTAGGATTCTGTGATTCTATAATGAATTACCCAGTGCATCTCGAGCGAGGTCTGTATTTCAAATGAAGAATCCTGCCACAGGCAAAGCAGTTGTTGGCGTTGTGGTCTTTCCTATAATAAACTGAAGGGAATAAGAAGTATACATGCTCCTTTTATACATGGTTCAACTTGTTTAAATACCTGCCTGCTCACAGACGTAGCAGATGTTAATCTGAGTTTGGGGATTGACCACTCCTGTACGTGTGGCAGCAACCTGAATGCATCCATCAAGAATTGAAAGCAGCAACATAACATAGTACAAAGAGCAGTGGTGAGAATCTTGAGCTTCAGACCTGCTCCCCGGTTTGTTTGGAGTTTTGGGTTTTGGGGGGTGGTGGTGGTAGTGGTGTTTGTGTTTTGGGTGGTTTTTTTGGTTTTGTGTTTTTTGGGGTTTTTTTGAGGCTAGAGAGCTTTTCTGGCTAGTGGTGGTCTTTGAAAGTGCTGCCCAGTTGTGATGACAGCTGTTGCCCTGGCCTCTCCTGCTTTTATGGGGATGCTATCTGTTACTGCTTTGTATAGTCTGCAGAGTTTTGTGGGTGAGGTGGAGATTAAGATGTGAATTTGCCACCTCTTTGAGGAGTGCTGTACTACATCTTTTAAATCATTCTAAACTCAGACAAAAGTGAAATGTTTGATGTTAAAAAAAAAAAAACCCAAACAACAAAAACATGCTATCAAGTTATTTGGGTATAATCAGAAAGGTCTCCCCTTGATACAGTCATTATTCATTTGGCAGCAATATCTGTAACAGACATTTTGAGTATTTTTCTTTACCCCAACTCATGGAGGACCTCATTTGGTTTCCCATTCAGGCAAAGACAGGATTTCCATTTGGGACTCTGCTTTCACTCCCTTAAGAATAAACCTTTGGAGATGTTGGCAACTGCCTGTTCACCACATTTCTGTGACAGTGACTCTCATGGTGGATGTGGTATTAGCTGAAAAGGTTGCAAAGAGGAAAGTGCTCATGTTTTATCTTTAGCACACTGTAAGTTTTGGGGGTAAGGTTGCTCTTGAGAACTGTACCGTGATTAAAACTGTGCCCAAATGGCATTTGTGTCAGGATGTTAACCTGCGTTCCTTTGTCGTCTTGTAGAACTCAGATGTTAGCTGTTCGTATTGGTTTGTTGTCAGCGTAGGTCTTTCAAGGTGACTGGAGGGCTTTGTCCTCATGACCAAAAGATGAGGATTTGACTCCTTCCAGTGATTCTCTGGTCATGGAGAAGGAGGTGTGAGTGCAGACTCTGCCGGTTGTGCAGTACAAACAAACCTCTGTGGCAGAATGAAAGGAACTGGCACAATATCACTGCAAAGGCAAAAATACCTTCCACCTGCACTACAGTTGGACTCCTGGTGCTGGCATTACAGATGCGCATGCATCATGTGCAAGTGGGCAATGCCTCTTAACAAAAGATTATGAGTAAGCAACCTTTTAGCACTTAGAGTGTTGCAAATACTGAAGAAGAAAACCAGATCAAACCTTGAAACACATCCTGAGCTATAGCAAGCCATTTTTAATTCTGAAAAGAACACACAGTAGACAAACCAGAACTGAGGAACGGGAGGATTGGCATACATTACCAGAAATGAAAAACTGCCTGTGAGATATGTGGGAGAAAATACCCACAGTCTGTAAGTCTGTAAGTCTTTCCAGTTTCAAAAAAGACCAAAGTGAACATAAGTGGGAGGTAAAACACAATGTATATATGTGTTGGATCCTAATATAAAGCAAGGAAGTAGTCTGTGATGAAAAGGGGAGAAGGGAAGTAATGCTTTCAGGGATTAACAGAGTTGCTGAGCTATCCGTGACCTTTGTGATAGTACAGCAGTTGAAATTCTCCAACTCTGTCATCACTTCGTAGTCAAAAGTTGCTAAGTGAAGATTATAATTAGTATATATAAAAGAAAGCTAATGTACCATCAAATCGTTCTGACACTATTGTGTCAGATTGCTTTAATTAAAAATTGTTTTGCTGCCACATACTCAACACAGAAACATAGCAAACGTGCTTTTCTGAGATTACTTGGGCTAACATCATGGAGAATTAACTTTTTTTTTTCTAAAGAGCAAGATTTAATTGCAGAGGACATAGTGAGAGCACACTGTTGGGATTTATGTTGCTAATTTGGGGGCCTGATTGTATACAGCAGTTGGCTGGTCTTGTACTCCTGTTAAGAAACCTTAAGTTATAGTTTCTAAGAGAACCTGCAGTAGTGAATGTAGAAGGAAGAGAGAAAGTCTAACAGGGGCAAACAAAAGAAAGCCAAGTTCATGATACTTCATGACAGGATGAAGTGAGAAATAAATGGAAATCCAGGGAAAAAATAGAAGTGAAAGACAAATATGAAGGTGAATTTGTAGAAATTATAGCATCACTCTTGCCACATGGCACAAGAGTACTGGGAATAATCCCTTCTATTCAGCTCTGAAAACTTCAGGCTAACTTCTCATCTACTTAAAGAAACTAACTGATGACTTTTTAGGAATCAGTTTAGGTTAGAAGCTGGGAAAATGATTGGGGTATCTAAACAAAGGAAATGCTGCCAGTAAGTCAGATTTAGTCTTGCTACTTATTTTGGAAACTACCAATACCCTTAACTGAAGGCGCAAAAAGGAAATGTTACCTGAGCAAAGACAAATGTTGGGCAGCATTGTCTTTATTTGCTAAAATCCAGTGTTTTAAAAACCCTTATCTTGAAGTTGAAAATACTCTACAGATATGATGTCTCCAAATAATTCTAACTTTGCATGTATGTTTTTGTACCTTAATCTTTATTTTTAGCTTCAGCTTGATTTCTTTCTTTTTTTGATATTATGCTAAAAAGAACCTGCCAAAAACTAGGTTTACAATACTGGCTTTCAAGTGAGTCTATTTTCGTATTGAAGTATTTTTATTTTTCTCTTCTAGCCTCTTGTAGTACCTCATAGAATTCCTTCGACAAGTAGAAATGTGAGAGAAGAAAAGACACGCTCTGAAATAAATTGTAAGCATGTGTAATATGACAACATGAAATATTTTTAAAATAATCACTGATACTTATTTCAACTAGTATTCTGGATATCTGACATACATAACTAAAATGTTTCTGTATATAGGAAAACAAAAACTTATGCTGTTTCATTTACAGATATAGGTTCTAGGTGACTATGCAAAAAAAAAAATTAGTGTAAAATATTTGAATACAC